TGATCGCTTAAATGCTCTAAAGGTGAACGACGGGTATAATTGTAAGCATCTCTTACAAATAAAATCAAAATCTATATCATTCTATCAGGGATTCAGATTCTGATACCTTTACGGTACCTGAAAATAACTATAGGCCTATTGTACACGCAACACATAATTTTATAGAAAATTGGCAATCCTTGAATGAGATCTGACATGTAAATACTGAAAATATATTGTGCAGTACGGTGTTCAAATAGACTTAAGTCACCAAAAAAAAAAGGATCTTATTAAATCCAAAGTTGTTGTATATTGTATTGTATATATCGGTAATTGTTTTAGAATTTTGATAAGCCTAGCTGAGACATAAAATCGGTAGATGTTGTCTTTTTTATCACACATTTTTGGCAGATAAAATTTCCAGTTGGCTGAAAAAAAATATGAACATTTTTTAATATAAAAATTATCATCCATTTTGGCGGAAAAAAAAATTGAAAGCCAGTGTGAGCCTGGACCCAATAATCCTGCTTCCATATTACTTAGAATGTTCATTAGGTGAATGTCTTAAATGATTTTAATGATGTGCATTTTCTGCTTAACTTGGGTTTAAACTTGGTGTAGATGTTCATTACAGAGTTCCATGAGAAGCATTTTCTGCATTGGTTAAGCAGCTATAGGGTCTATCTATCCATCGCACCTTTTGGAACACTAACACAATAATTGAGACAAAATGTTCAAGAATTGGTGTAGCTTTTTGTTCGGTGAATGTCTTGATTGAGTTCAGTGATGAGCATTTTCCACTTAGCCTAAGCAGAGATGAGCAATTTGATTTGTTAATGCTTTAGAACACAATAATTCTGCTTCTAATTAATGCCCCCGTCAGACCAGGGTTGCGTCGTTACTGCGCTGCTGCGACCGTATGGCAATTGGAAAATACACAAGTTCGCTGGCAAACGTGAACACAATGCGAGAAAATGTCCAAAAAGTCGAGTTCTCACAGCTTTCCAGGCCAGATCGCAGAACCTTGGCGTTTGCTTTGAACATGCTCAAAACAAACGCTGTGAGTCGGCGATCATTAGTGACCATGGAGACCATAGCTCCATATCTGGCGTTTACACCACGCTTTTACCACACATATGGCGATGTTGACGCGCTCTGAGACCATTTTCCGTCGCCGTAGCAGCGCAGTAAGGACGCCACCCAGGTCTAACAGGGGTATAAGGGAGAGTGATGAAATTTACTTGGTGTATAGTTTCATCACACCAGTACCTTGACCAACTTCAAAAATTAGTATTTTCTGGTTGGGTTCAGCAATGCGATAAACAATTTGAATGCTCAGTGATAAAATAAATGCGGCAATACTATATACCGGAAAACACCAGAAAACAACCGGAAAACACCATTTTATACTGAATACCGGAAAAACACTAAAACACCCTAGATAGGTAACCCGGAGCCTGGTCCTCTGTGTACGGTTTTGGACCAAGTGAGCGCCGATGAAGGAAGGTCAAGATCATTACGATGTTCGTTTTACAAATACAATCTTCAGATCAAAGGATGCAAGTTCTTACACAGTGCAGCATAATTTGTGCAACAGAAGACATCTCGAATATCGATTGTCTGAAAAAACATTTTCTCGGGGACATTTTTCTTCGAATATGCATTCGGTGTAAGTCTTCAGCCACCAGGAAGTGGTTAACATAGTAATGTTTTATTACGATAGTAGTACATAAAACAAATTGGTTGCCTGAGGTTCTCGGCTAGAGTCCTCTATTTCACAAACAAAAACAACATTGAAATTTTATCAATCAACCCTTTTCACAGACGTCCAGCTTACCACTTCCCGTCAATGCAGTAAGATAGAATATGTAGTTTTCTCATGGACAATTGGCGAAAGTTGGGGTTTTCTCAAGGAAAACTGGTCAACAAGTTGGGGAAAAAAGCTCGAAGAGTAATCCAGAAAAAAATCCTGGGTGCGGCCCTCGGAATATGATGGAATATGTTGAATATTATTATGGTTCAAGTGATTATATTTGACCCTGGAATGAAAGTAAGCTCAGAAACAAGTAGATTTTTAGCCCTTCCAACGAGATGGATAGCTCTTGGAAAGGATAGACACTTTTCAGATTACAGCCTGTCCGAGAATTGCGTGGCATCCATTTCGTTTGGTGATTAGGACACATAGCGGTTAAACCTGGAACTTCAACTCGAACTATTCAGAGATTTATTAACTCGCTTTTGATGATACTTGCTGTTTTATGATGCGATTTTTTGTTACCTAGGGAAGAGTTGGCCTAGTCGTGCCTTCCACTAATTCGTACCACCATGATGCCAGCGTTACTGGTAAGAATCAGGTGACCGGCGCAACCAGCATATAATGGGGCCCTCGTAGGGCAGTGTTTAATCTACTGAAATACTGAAACACTGAAATCTACTGAAATTTACTGAAAACTAAAATTAAAATACAAAATAAAATATGGTCAATGATGGAGGTAGACTGATTGCGTCTTTTAAAACATTCAAAACATAATAGGCATCAACAAAATTTTGGAGAAAAAAAATCGGAATTTTTTTTTGGGGGGGTGGGGGGTGGTCTATTTGTAAAACGAACATCATAATGACCTTGACCTTCCTTCATCGGCGCTCACTTGGTCCAAAACCGCACACAGAGGACCAGGCTCCGGGTTACCTATTTAGGGTGTTTTCGGGTATTTAGGATGTTTTCCGATATTCAGTGTTTTTCCGGTATTTTCCGGTATTCAGTATAAAATGGTGTTTTCTTCATACTGTTCTGCACCAATTGGGCAAATAATGACAGGCATACACCATACAGTGTGCTATGAGGGTAATGACCAACTCTCATATCAAATTCCAACTGTCAAGGGTTCTTTTATGTGCATGCCAATGTGTACACCGGACCTCAGATTTTCATCCCATGTTAGGCCCTCAGTCCTGCACCACTGACAATCCCTTTGAACACCGGAATCAAACACATGACCTCCAGGTAAGCGAGTCAGTGTCATACTCATTGATCCACCATGGCTCCCAAAGTAGTATACTATTGTCATCCATTTGTTTTTGGATTGAGGTACTGGACTTTAACTTCACTCTTGGCTTGTATGTTATGGGTTTGTATACCACAGTATCTGTACCCTTTATCAGGCAGGTGGGGTTGGGTGGTCTAGTGCTTTTTCTCTCTCTCTTTATCAGGCAATTGTAAACATTTAGCAATCTTGGAGAAGAAACATTTTGTTGGAAAAATTTGTGATTAAAGGAAAAACTACTAAGTATCATTTTATGGAACTATATTCTGAAATTGTATATTGTGAATGAATAAATTAACTGTTTGAAAAGCAATCACATTTCACATAAAAAGTTATTGTTACCGTCAGATGCTCAAAGATTTTAGTATTTTAATATACATAATATATATATTATCGGTACTACTTTTTATTTTATATTAAAAACTTGTTTACTTTGATTTATGCTGAAAATACTTTTTTTTAACCTCTGTATACTTTCTGTTTGATTCACATTGTTGAGTTAGTACATGAAATTTTATTTACAATGGAATTAAAGGTGTTCATGAAAGCTGAGCAACAATCTTCTTGGACAAAAGTTTTATATAAAACTTATATGTCTGACTGTCAAGTAAGAAAAAAATGAATCTCTTTGTTTCTGTGTGTTGACAAAGGTGTATGTTTTCCCAAGCAGCACCCATGGGATGGGATAAAAAAAAAAGGATTGAAAGATTCATTTTGTGGATGATAAACTAATGTGTTGTATAGCTAGAGGGTGAACGGAAACTTTTGTCTTTTAGCAAACCCTGGATTTAAACTGCTGTTTAATGACCTGTCATAAATTTCTTGATAGATATGAATAACAAGAAACTTAAAGTCTAATTAAGAAATTGTCAGTTATCTTCCAGTCATATGAGATTTTATGGTCTGCATTGGAGGACTGATCATGGGATGCATATGAGAATGTCTGCCCACTTGATTTTCTCATGGTACCCTTTTTCATATAAAATATTTACTTCATAATGGCAGTTATACTTACATCTAAAACATCACCTTAAAGTTCTCATGCAACTACTTGAGTGGAAAACTTATGTAACTCTGATTCTTCCAGTAATCTTCATTTGACAAATGTAGGTGTTGTGAAATACAATATAAAAACCAAACTTAATGACAGTAGACTGTATTTCAAGATTAAAGCAAGATAACATTATCTGTAAAAAGCATTCTTATTTCTTCTACTAGAAAATAATTGGAAGGTTTGATAATTGATATGAAACATGTTGGCTGATTTAAAACAATCAATCAGTGGTGTTTACGGACATCAGTGAACTTCTTGTTTGTCAAGAGGACCAATATAAAAAAGAAAAGTTATTAATTCTCATCCTTAATAATAAAGTATTGGGAATTACCTCTAGCTGAAAATATTGATGAGAAAGACTGTAATTTCAGAGTCAATCCATTTCCTAACTGACAATAAGAAGGCAAACTTTGTTATTCACATACGATAGAAACAAAATTGTGATTAATTCTCTGAAATATTTTCAGCGCATAAAGAATGAGGTCATTAGTCCAAGAAAATCAATTCAACGAAGACGTTCATTTTCGCCTGTTAACAAGAACTCTTATGGCCCAGCCATCCAATATTAGCCAATTTGCTCCATCTTTTCATCAAGTCAGAAGAAGTAAAAATTTCATTTCTCAATGAGGCTTTAGTGTTAATACTCTTAGTCACAAACGCTTCTCATATTATTTGCATGTGAAAACGAAGGGGAAATGGCAGCGTGTAACAAATGTGATAAATATATGATTAACCTAACCTTTATGATACATAAGTAAGGAAATCTCCCATCGTTTACAAGGTGCCTCACAATCAAAAGGTGTTTGCGCCACTGATAATCAGTATTCCTCTCTGGTTGGCTGGTAATTATAGGCCATTGTCTGTAATGTGAATGGCTTGTCTTTATCTTGGTCACTTCTATTATACTCTTTATCTGCGAACCCCGTCTTATCCACTATAATTAATCATTTCATTAGTGGCAAATGTAAGGTGCCCAACAGTAGGCAACTTATCTCCTGAACTTGTCTCCATTGGAATTCGGTTTCTTGTCACCAAGAATTTATACTAAAAAGATACCTTTAACAGGTAATTAAATAGATTATACTTCCTTTTAATTAATGTTGAGACCTAATATAATAGATAGCATCTTCAGTAAACATATATTTTGTATTAAAATCTATATCAGAAAAAGACAAGACAACGATTAGAATTCATATTTATTCTTAAACAAGTATAGTAAAGGGATCCCTTTGTATCGATATCTAGTTTTGCAGTATCAAATATTCATGGAAACCATTGTTAATTTTTAAAAATCCCCAAAAAACATTGATTTTTACCAAAGGTACATAAAAGGTAATTAAGATTTGTGTTGAGGATATGTATATTTACCTGGTTATAATCTATAATGGTTGAATAAAGTTGATAAGAGTGTTGTGTAATATGGCTATGTCAACAATAGTGTTCAAGTGATCAGCGAGTGACATGAGGTAATAGCACATTAATTTATCACCTGAATAACAAACTAAACTTAATATCACCCTTGTTTGGTTAAAATGAGTTAATAACTTTGATAAAGAAAATCAAGCTTTAAACTAGGTCAGCCCTTAAGCTGTCTTATCATCTAAGTTCAAATTCATAGCTAAAGGTATGTAAAATTGGCTCATCTAATCGACAGGTGAAAAACTTGTTAAGCCACCAGCGTGCCTAATGACTTGTGCTGAAGACAATACATTGGAAATGACAAGAAACTAACATTTGTACCAGTGTTTTGTTGAACTGATGACACATGACATAAAGTTTGGCAGTGTTAAAGTATGGTAATTGTTTTAGATTGTCAACTGACATCAACAGGTAAATTGCTTTGTTCTAATAGAAAATAACTTATGTAGAGTATGTATTGGGAAGGGGGAGGGGACATCTATTGGTTTAATGTTTTATGTAGTGTTTAGTGTGAGACGGTAGTCAAGCCTATCATCAGTAACTGGTCAATAGATATCTATAGGCTTTTCTAGTTACATGTACCTAGTCAGATTAGTGTGAAGTTCAACATATGTTCTTTTCATGGTGTATACTTACAGTGAAATAAGAGTACCTTTTAATATAGGGTTAATAAAATATTGTTTTAATTCAGATAGTATTCTGTTTTAGAATATTAATCATCAGAGGAATATAGAGTGAATATAGATTGTTTTCACTTTGTATGAGACATTAATAACATCTACATATAACATTGTAATGTCGTTATTAAACATTCTTTGAATTCATATTAAACATAATTGCTTTATTATCATTAGTTTAATTTGATCCTGAGGTGTTTTTATGTTATAAATGATAACATTAAAAATGATTGTTTCATGAAGCACATTTTATCATCGTTAGAATTTATTGATTTTACATTCATTTAGATATTTTTAATAACATCCCTACATTTAATTAATATCATTTAAAACATCAAAAAGGTGACAGATATTTATTAGTATTCCGTGACAATACATACAAACAGTATTTTTTGTAGGTCCTACATTAATTTTGTTTTGTCTAATTGGGGCAATTATATTAAAAGTTTTCTATTTATTAAGTTGAAAGGTAAAGTTACATTTATGATGTTAATAAATGTTGCTTTGTTCTAAAACAATGTGTTTCAATGCAAAAAACATTAATTTTGGACGTTTCAAGTTTACAATTGAAATTAAAGTTTTTTGTATTATTCAAAGATATTAGAATATTCATATGGCTTTTATCATTGTTAATTTAAGATAGGCATTTCACCGTCAGTTAAACAGAGGGTTCAAACTTTTCATTACTCGGAGGTTTTATTTACAGTAATTAGATTAATCTGAAAGTCAATATTTTATCATGGGCGACCATTATTGTTCATACAAACAGCCATTTTTACTGTGAGTGGCTTTAAACAATGGAGGGTTAGAAGATCTCCTCAAGCAGAGGTCGAGCAATGATAATAGATCCACGAGTACAAAAGACCACAATTAATTCATCTGTGTGAAATTTTTACATTTAATAGTAGATAGTTAATGCTATTTTCCACCATTTGTTTCCAACTCATTAATTTCAAGAAATTACTTTGAGGTTAAGAAATCTGTTGAAATAGGTATAAGTTAGGATATTTAGTATATATTAATATATTAAAGACCATAGTTAGACATGTACATGTAGTAGATTTTGAATTGTCTGAATTTGTAATTATAGGAAATTTTAAACACAACAGGTTGTACCTTTCACACATTTATATGCACATTTCTGTTTCCACCCATTTTTTTCCACTTAGAAGATGACTGTCTTATATTATGACTGTAAAATTAGAATTTATTCCCCCCCCCCTCACCCCCACCCACTGTTGTGTTGTATAAATTAAGTGATTGTATTTGTAAATTACCAGTATAATTGGTCTGCTCTGTGTTACCAAAAATCAATGGAAGTCAGTAAGGGAGATAATTAGAATGATAGAAGCTATCTGCCTTATTAGTAATGATTTATGGCCGTATTGCAGTATAATATAGAGACCTGATATGAATCACTGATGTAAATTTTACGTATGAACTTAATTAGCTTATGGTAGGTATCTGACATATTATGTGTCCAGAAATAACATACTTAAGGTGGGGTGGGGAAGAGAAACGGCAACTGTGATGGGTGAACTGCACAGTGGTGGGTGTCATTTTGGCCGGGGTCTGCATACTCTTTCTAAAACACAATACCGCTTCTCTTTTGAGGTGTTTACGAACAAACAAACTGTTGTAGTATTCTTGTCTGTCACTTGCCAGATCTGAAAATATGTATTTTTATGCTGTCCATAAACAATGCTCACATTTGTATAGGATTTACAGAAATGTAGGCCTACGATAAATTATGAAAGGTAATATAATTTATTGATTATTTATTGATCATAATTTTTAAGTGGAGCTTAAATTACAATTTATAAATCCCTAAAAGTTTCATAAATTTATTTAATGAGCATAAATTAATAATACTGAAGTCTAGTTTGTGGATTCTTTTAGAAATAGACTTCACATGAGTAGAAGGCAGTAGAAGTTTATTATTGACTTATTATAGAAAATATATATTATCAATTAGCTCTGTTATCAAGTGAAATGTAATAAGATATTACAATCTTGTAAATCATAAAACAGTTATAAATTGGTGGGAAAGAGCTATGTCAACCTCTTAACAAACTATTACAGGGTGGGTCGAAAAGTTTTATATCCAAGATCAAATATAGTTTAATAGTCTGCCCAATTAATAATGGATTTGAATAAGATATGAAAATGAATACCTGCTAAGCTGAAGATTTAATTATCCTACAAGTTTGAATTCAAATGAGACAGTTATTGGACTATGTCATTTTAAAGACCATTTTACAGTTGCATTATTTCTAGACCTGTTGAAATTGTTAAATATTGTATTATTAATTGGTTTTGTATATTTACATGGATAATGTCTATTTCATCTGATATCAGTCATACAACTTCATTTTTAGTCATAATTAATCTGTAGATATGATATTATAAGTATACTGAAGATATTTGATATATCACATTTCACCCACTAATCAAAAACTATCTTGATAAATTTATAATCTTGTATGATTTGATTGCAATGTAATTATGGATAATGACAGAATTATAGGTAGGGGTATATTTTTGTAACATTTCTTACATAAAAATTTGTGAAAATGTTAGTTAATACTTAAAACATGCTAGCTTGAAGACTAGAATTTTTGGAATGGTTGACTAAATTATTGAACTTTTTAGTCTTAATCGAATAGTTTGCAGAATCTTTAAAAGTTACAATTTCATATTTTTAAGTTATATTTTTCAAATTTATTAAAATAAAGCCTTAAAATAGATGGTATCTATAAACACTCCTACCTTGTTAAAGAATAATCCTATTAATCCTATAATTCACTATTGCCAGTTGAGAAATTGGCAAAAATATCATTTTCAACTTCAAATTCAAACGTTTGAAGATAGCTATTCCATGGGGGGGAATAGGAAAACAAGGGAGGTAATTGTGTTATTATTTCCTGTGTCAATGATTTTTAAGTGTGGGAAATAATGCCTATGGTCGTGTAATAGTGAGTTGATAACCTATTGCGCAAAAGACATAAAAATAATTATGTTTTGACTTTCTTAGAAAATATGAAATTCTCGCTTTAAAGATAAACATTAGCAGAGTTGTTAGCGGAATGTTGCAGGCTAACCATCAATGGAATAGTTGGCTGAATCTTGAAGTCTGACCAGTAAGAGAAATGCTGTCTAATGTTAGAAGTCTAACTAACCATCATTGAATTGGCTGGCTAAACCTTGGAAGACAATAACAATAAGTGGAATAGAAGACTAAGTCTGTTAGGCTAACCATCACAGGAAAAGTTAGCTTATTCTTGAAGGCTAACCGTCAGTGGAATAGTTAGCTTAACAATAAGTGGAATGGAAGGCTAAGTCTGTTTGGTTAACCATCACAGGAAAAGTTAGCTTATTCCCGAAGGCTATCCATTGGTGGAATAGTTAACTTATTCTTGAAGGCTGTAACCATCAGTTAAATACAGTAGTTGGATAATTATTGAAGGCTTACCATCAGTTGAATAGTTGGATAATTCTTGAATAAATACATATACACACAGTTTCTTCTAGAATGTATATTATTTGATAAGAAATGTGAATATTTTCTTCTGTGAATAATCATGTCCCAGAATAAGAGCTAGAAACCTAGGCTGTTGTGTATGTGATGTAAACAAAGACTTTATTTAACTCCTTTAATATGAGATAGAGACAAATATTAGATCCATTTCTAGTTAATTGCTCTGACAGTCTGATCAATGATAGATTTTCCTTTCTTCTTCTCTCTTATATTTCATTATAAAATGTTCATTAACTGATGAATCATGTATCGGCTACCCTACTTCTACTAATTATGGAAATTTCTTTCAGTTTCAGGCACGATCAATTAATAACCTAATTAGATTTTTGCATCAGGCTGGCAGATAATCCCACTGATTAGTAAAGACTAATTAATTTGCCAGCTTCACGTCACATAATCACTTGCAAGACGAAGGTTAACAAAGGAAAGTC